TAACTGAGCAAAATAAAAAATAACTGAGCATTTTATATTATCCCATAAAAATATCGAAAAGCGACGGTTGGTGGACGAATTGCACGCACCGGCGAGAAGAATTTTTCCCCGCAGACAGTTATAGTGCGAGGGTACGACGACCTGTGGCAGGCTGACATCGTAGAGATGCATCCGTACTCGCGTTTCAACGAAGGCTACCACATACTCACCGTCATCGATGTGTTGAGCAAGCACGCCTGGGCCGTGCCGCTCAAGGGTAAAGGCGGCAACGAGACAGCTGACGCTATTGCTGAGATAATTCGAGATAGCGAGAGGTGCTCTAGTAACCTACAAACCGACATGGGGAAGGAATTTTACAACACCGACGTGGAACGTCTCGTGAAAAAAGGCATCGGTCGTCGAGCGATTCAATCGCACGTTAAAAAACAACATGTGAAAGATTTTTACGCTCAACGAAAATTACAAGTGGTTCGACGCGTTATTGCGACTTGTGTCGGATTACACCGCGCGCAAACATCGAACGATCGGCATGCGACCCGTCGACGTTACCCCCGCAATCGCCGAAAGACTCTTGGCTACGGTGTACAGCGCGATAAAGATTGCGGGCCCGGCAAAGTTCAAAACGGGCGACTCGGTACGCGTCAGAGACAATTTTCGAGAAGGGTTACACGCCGGATTGGACCACCAAGGTGTTTAAGATCGTTAAAGTGCAGCATACCAATCCCGTAACTTACCTACTCGAGGACTATCGTGGAAAATCCGTCGCTGGAGCGTTCTACGAACACGAGTTGCATCGCGCGACTTATCCGGACGTGTATTTCGTGGAGAAAATATTGCGCAGGAGGGGCGACGAGGTTTACGTGAAATGGCTGGGATTCGATGGACCGCACAACTCTTGGATACACAAGGACAATGTTATTTAAACTGTATTTTATTCTTAATATAAAAATGATACATGTACAGTATTTTGAAATATGTAATACATATAAAGTATTTAATAAAAAATATTAAATATTAAATATATGTACAATATCTTTATTAATATCTTTCCATTAATATACATACGTTACATTACATACATATTGGGTTGGCAAATAAGTTCGTTCGGTTTTTTGACTGGTTTTGAATGGAAAAAACCGAACGAACTTATTTGCCAACCCAATACATACATACATACATACATATATACATATGTACATACATATGTATATACATATATACTGTGACGTGACAAATGTCACGTCCCTCGACTCAGATGGGAGCTCGGCCGAGGGAGGCGTTAGGGATGGTGCCTCCGCCCGAGGCGGGCGGAGCGCAAGCGTTTTAGGTTAGGGCTAAGATCTTTTTGGCGAGACTTACAGGTAGCAAGAGAGTGCGGAGCAGATGGCCAGGGTCACAAAATTGTAACGGCGTATGCCGCACCGCAGGACTTTTAGATGGACAGCCGGAAGCTCCCGAGAACGGACGGCCGACGGGCGGGTCACGCTGGAGCCCGCAGCCGGAACAGCCGAGGGCCTGTCAAAACACACGATCAGCTCGCACTAGCGTACTGCAGCCCGAATACGGAGGACCCGAAATGGAGGACGCCCCGACGAAGGTCCCCGTCGAGGAACGGGGCCACCACCGGAATACCGCCACCGGTCGACAAGCCATGGCCCGGCCAGCCTGGCCGTCGAATAACCGGGCGATGAGTCACGGCCTGGATAGCCAGTCTCACGTGGGCGGATTTCAAAACTACCGCCGGCGGATGGAAGCAGCTGCAAGGGGCGCCCTAGTAAGGCGCGGCGATCGCCTAGAGAGATCGGTAAGGTCCCAGGGCGCAGCACCTGATAGGGTTAGGGACACCGGCACGGGTGCGCGCGGGCTCGGCGTGGTCCCGCCGGGCCGAAGGAACACCACTGTCGTGCGAGCCGCCGTCAAGGTACCATCTAGCCCTGCGAGCCGAACGACGAGCTGCCGGATCGAGCGATCTATTGTAAGGCCACTGCTCAGCCTCCGCAAAATAAGATCGTAGCAATACTAAGGCCCTCCCGGGAGTCGCGTGCCGCGGGAATAGATGAGCCGCCGTAACTTGGATGATACCGAAAACCATACCGCGGGAGGGCCCGAACGGAAAAGTACTTGCAAGTGCCCGTCTCGGGGGATTCGGACGGGCGGTCGCCGACAGTCAGCGTGTGTAATTTGCGTCCGGATAATCGTTTTCGTTCGTCTGAGTGTAGAGTGAAGATTCGCGTTGTGAATATCGTTGCGTTGTAAGAATCGTGAGTATCGACGTGAGCTCTTCGTGAGCCTCACGTGATCACGCCGTGGCGTCGGGCGCCTTTGAGTTTTGCGCCCTTTCGGGACTCGCGTAATCGGGAGATTCACGGTCATTCGGGACTCGCGGAATCAGGATATTCGCGATCCACTCGGGACTCGCGTGATCGAGCAATCCGCGGTCAACTCGGGAAGTTGCGCTCGCGCGTGCAAGTGGCTCACGATTATTGTTTTCGGTTATGTTCGCGTTAATTGTAAGTACATGTTCTTGCGTTCGTCGGTACTAACTTTCGCGTTAATTAAAAGGAATGTTCTTTGCGTTTGTCGGTATTAATCCTGTCGCGGTATTTGTAAGTAATTGGCGGTAGTTGTAAGTGCGTAACTTAGTGCGTTTTGTCGGGAGTAAATGTGCTCAGTTATCTGGCGTTGGATTGACATTAGAGAATTCGTTACGGTTTATGTCGGGAATTATTAATGTACGAAACTGATTGGAATTGCTGTGCAATTCGGCGACGGAATGAGTATCGCGTTCGTAGGGTGACACGTGACGCTTACTCGGATTCTGCTTGTTCGCCGTGGAACACGCCTACTTCCTTCCACCTGTTATCTGCTTTATTTAAATATATTTTTCTGTTTACTGTTAATCGGATGTGTTAATTGCGCTATGCTCCCTCTCTGCTTCCAACTACGATTATTCGATTAGACTCACGCCTGAGAGGATTACGTTTTGTGTATCGTGGTGCGAGGAATCGCA